ACTTAGAAACAAAATCAAACACCATAATGATGGATGTTACACAGAATGCCATGCACAATGAGATGTTGGTAAAAGGATCAAAACCAAGGAGGTCCTTCTCTGAGATAAGCTGAGGCTCATGGAGCCTCAGTTAGCTTGCCCTTGAGGGAGTTAAGGACGGCTTCTTAGAGGTGTTTCTGGAGTAGGATTTAGAAAAATGAACTAGGACTGTCAGTGGCCCACCTGATGGAGGGCACATTCAGCACCTCCTGAATCATGATGGTCAGGGGCAGTGGCAGGTTTGGGCAGAAGCAGAAACCCTAGTTCTCTCTGTCCTATGACAGAGCTGGAGAGCTCTGAAGAGTTTTCAGGTACTATCTTAGTTACACAGTGCTGCTAAAACAGAAATACCACAAGTAGGGTGGCTGTAACAAACATAAATTAATTATCTCATCATTTAGGAAGTTAGAAGTTCAAATTCAGGGCAATGGCTCTAAGAGAAGGCTTTCTCTTTGTATAGATTCTAGAAGAAGGTCTTTAGTCTTCCCCTTGATCTGGGAGTTTCTCAGCAAAGGGACCTTGGGTCCAAAGGATACACTCCACTCCTGAGTCGTCTTCTTTGATGGTAGTCACATTCACTCCTTTATCTTTTATTTCATTTAAGATAAAAGATGATGCATGACACTCTCCCATAGGTCAGTGATGTGACTTCAATAAGGATGTTGCATCCTAATCAATCCAAATCATCTTACAGCCAATCACATCAGATCCCCTTGTGAGAGATAATTGCCTCCATACATAATGAACAGATGACATCACTACAGAACCACTGAGAAGCCTTGCCCAGCCAAGTTGACATGCAGTTTTGAGAATCACATTTCAATCCATGATAATAACTTACTCAGAGCCCCCACTGGCCATCAATATGATGGAAGGGAACCTGTTACACACTTAATCATGGAAGCCACCCCCCCCCCCAGAACATCTGAAGCCTACTGTTCCAAGGAACATAGTTGGAGGAATGTGGCTCTTAGCAGCTCTGTTCCACTCAGGCTGCAGGTATTACATGAACGTGGAGCCTCTTGGAATTACACCCTACCTGGAAGGAGTTCTTGAGCCACCTGTCCAGAACTAGCAGGATGATAGAAGAGAAGGCCACCTAGAGTCAGTGGGCCCTAACGTGTTCTCGTTAAGGACTCCATCTCCATTCTAGCTCTGAGTGTTAGAGGTTTGGGCACCCAAAGGTCCTACCCACCTCCACAAGACATTTTTCCCTTGCCAAGACAATGATCCCACAACCCCAGAACATTCCAGGGCAGCCTATTCTGAAGGCATGTTGAGGATCCCTGAGGCAGATCCAGAAAGATCTGACGGAGGAGGGACTTAGAGCTCCATTCTAACACTGGACCCTCCAGATGATGCTGATGTGGGTGACATGGAACTGAGCACCCCACCTGTAACATGAGCTGGGCACCATGTTGAGTGCTGTCAGGCAGTCAGTCCACAGGAGGGACAGTTCTGTCCTCAACAAGGTTCCAGTCTGAGTGGCACATGGAGAAGACAGGAAGGTGGCAGAGATGGTTGGAGAGAGCCTAGCCCTCAGAAACTGAGGTGTCAAGGCCAAGAGGGAGCTTCTAGGCAGAGCTCCTTGGCCTTCAGTCCAGAGCATCACCCCACCAAGCTGCAACTCCTTCCTTCTAGAAATTCCTTTGGGATGAAGGGAGCGTGGCTCTGATGCTTAGGGGATTTCACCTTGGAGAGATGGAGTCGGTGAAACAAAGCATCAGGGGCTGTGGGGACATGCAGCGTATACCACTGTGTCCTACCTGAAGCAAACAGTGGCCACTGGCAAGTGCCCTCGTCACAGAGCCCCATGGGCATCCCTCTCAGGCTGCTAAGCTTTCAGAGGAAGTGAGGTCAAGCGCCTTGAACCTGACTACATCTTGGACTGTTCGGGTTGAACTACCATCATTCTGCCAGATGCCCAAAGCATGTCTTTAATCTGAGCCCTGGCCAGCGATTGGTTGGCCCAGTCTAGCGGGTTAGTGAGTGGTTAAGGAAACAAGTTAGCTCAGATAATGGGGTTTGAATCCCAGCCTGGCCACTCACCAGCCACTTAAACCCTCCCCACTCCATTTTCTCATCTGCGATAGGAGCCCTGGTGGCACAGTGGTTAAGAGTTTGGCTGCTAACCCAGAGGTTAGCAACTCAAACCTACTAGCTACACCCTGGGAGAGTGGCATGGTAGTCGACTTCCATAAAGATTCCAGCCTTGAAAATCCTATGAGCGGTTCTGCCCTTCCTTAGAGGGTTGCTGTGACTCAGAACTGGCTCAGTGGTAGTGCATCACTCCATTTTTTTATTAAAAAAAAGAAAATTCTGAGATGATGTGCCCCTAAGCAGGGTCTTGGGGGCATTAAGCAGTTCCCACTCGCAGAACCTGGGAGCCCCTGTGGCTCTGAGTGCTCTCTCCCCACGTGGTTACCATTAGCAGAGGGAGTCCCAGCCTTAACAGCCCCAGCTGCTTGTCCTTTCGGGAAATCTCTGTCGCTGCTGCCTGCCGGATTTTCTTCCTCTGCTCCCTCCTCACAAGCCACCACACCTCTTCCATGTCTCTCTCTCACCTCGCCCTGTGTTCCCTTCCTTTTTCATACTTTCCCTTCCAGCCCTCAGATTTTTTTTTTTTGTCCATCTCCGTAGATTCTAGAAAACCATCCATAATCCTACTGGGTTGCGCAAAGGGCCTGTCTTGTCTGACAGAGATCACCTGAGTCATTTGGGTCTGGTTCTGGGCCCAAGTTCTGGCAGAACTCTGCCTTGTTGACAACTCTGGGGGTGAAAGACATTGGTTTTGTGATGAGACCCTTATAGTTCCCTTCACATAGAACTGAAATCACCAGATATACAAGGTGGTTGTTGTTGTTATGTGCCATCGAGTAGTTTGCGACTCATAGCGACCCTACGTACAACAGCCCTAAACCGTGCTCTATCCTGTGCCAATCTCATTGCCTCTGACACACCCATCCCGATTACCCCAGTCACTGAATCAATCCACCTCATAGAGGGTCTTCCCCTCCTGCGCTGTCCCTCCACCCTCCCAAGCATGATGTCCCTCTCCAAAGACCTGTCTCTCCTTACAACATGTCCAGAGTATCTCAGATGAAGCCCCAGAATCCTTGCCTTCAAGGAGCAGCCTGGTTTAATCCTCTTTAAGATGAATCTGTTTGTTTTCTTGACAGTTCATGGTACATTCAATACTCTTCACACCACAGCTCAAAGGCGTCAGTTCTCTTTCTATCCTCCCTAGTCATTGTCCAACTCTCTGATGTTTAACAAGTGATTGCAAAGATCATGGCCTGTATCAGGCACATCTTAGTCTCCAGAGAGACACCATTGCTCTTGAGTACTTTAGAGAGGTCCCTAACAGCAGACTTTCCCATCGCAATACTTTTTTTGATTTCCTGGCTACTGGTGCCAAGAGTGTTGACCGTGGAGCCAAGCAGACTGAAGCTGTGAACAATCTCAATCTCTTCACCATCCATCCTGATGCTGCCAATTGGTCCAGTGTGAAAATTTTTGTCTTCTTGACATGGAGCCTCAGTCCATATTGAAGGCTGCAGTCCTTGACCCTCTGCAGCAAGTGCATAAGTTCCTCCTCAGTTTCAGCGAGCAAGGTTATGTCATCTGCATAACGCAGATTGTTGATAGATCGTCCACCAATCCTAACTCTACGCTTCTCCTCATAGAGCCCAGCCTCTCGGATAATCTGCTCTGCATACAGGTTGAAAAGGTATGGAGACAGGATGCATCCCTGGCGTACGCCCTTCTCAATTTTGAACCATGCAGTGTTACCCTGCTCTGTTCTGACAACTGCCTCTTGGTCCAAGTATAGGTTTCGCATTAGCACGATTAAATGTTCTGGGATTCCCATTCTTCTCAGAGTCAGCCACAGTTTGTTATCATCCGCGCAGTCAAATGCCTTTGCATATTCAATGAAACAAAGATAGACATTCTTCTGGTATTCCCTGCTTTCAGCTAAGATCCATCTAACATCAGCAACAATATCCCTAGTACCACGACCCCTTCTAAACCCAGCCTGGACTTCTGGCAGTTCTCTGCTGATGTACTGTTCCAGTCGTTTTTGGATGATCTTCAGCAGAATCTTGCTTGCATGTGAAATCAATGACACTGTTCTGTAGTTTCCACACTCTGTTGGGTCACCTTTCTTTGGAATGGGAACAAATATAGATCTCTTCCAGTCAGTTGGCCAAGTGGTTGTTCTCCAGATTTCTTGGCACAACTTGGTGAGCACATCCACGGCAGCATCTGTTAGCTGAAATATGTCAATTGGTATATCATCTATTCCAGGGGCCTTATTTTTTGCTATTTCCTTCGAAGCAGCTTGAACTTCTGCCTTCATCACCATAGGCTCTGGCTCAAATGCTATTTCATTAAATTCTTCTGTATCTGCCAATTCCTTTCGATACAATGACTCAGTATATTCCTGGTAGCAGATGCTTTTCCCCTCCTTTCTTCAACACACCTGCATGCAGACATGGCTTTAGGGCTGATCAGCCTGAAGCATATGATTTCGTCCCTGAGCCCTGGACAGTGTGGCCATACCCATTGTCAGTAGTGAATGGGAAGGACGTGACCAGGAGGTGGCTGATGTCACTGTCATTGGTGCCCATTTTCTGGCATCCTGTGGGCACAACCTCAGGCTAGAGAGGCACAGCATCACCAAGGATGATAGTACCCGGTGTGGTGACTCAGGGTATCACCACCTCCCATGGTCCTCCTCCTGAAACAACCCGTACCGAGTCCTTAGTGATGTTGGTTACCACCCTAATCATACAGCATCATGGGATGTCGTTGTAAATTGCTTAAATGGAATCTTTCGTAGATGATATGAATACTAATTGTTTTGTAAACTCCTTCTACACGGCACTGCAGTGGATCCTGGACAAAAGCAGAGAACACCAGAAGAACGTCTATCTTATTAACTATTCAAGGGCATTTGTGTGGCTAACGCTAAGAAGAATGGGAATTCTAGAACACTTAATTATACTCACATGAAATCTGTACCTAGAACAGGAAGCCGTTTGTCTGAATGGAACGAGGGAGGTGTGTGCATCAGGGTTGTATCCTTTTCTCATACCTGTTCAATCTGGATGCTGAGCAAAACATTCATGAGAGTGGACTCTATGAAAAGGAAGGTGGCCTAAGGCTCAGAGGAAGATTCATCAAAAACCTGTATTACGCACTTGACAGCCTTACTTGCTCAAAGTGAAGAGGACTTGAAGTACTTGTTGCAGAAGATCAAGGAATACAGCCTTCTATATGGATTACATCACAGCATCAGTTAAACAAAGGTCCTTTCCTTTGGGCCGATAGGCAGCATCATGATAGATGGAGAAAGGATTGAAACTGTCAGTGATTTCATCTTACTTGGATCCACTGTCACCACTCTTGGTACCACCGATCAGGAGACACACTGCTTTGGGTAAGTCCACTGTGAGGGACCTCTCGAAAATACTGAAGAGCAGTGATGGCAGTTGGATGACTAAGGTGCACCTGACTCAGACCATGGGCTTTCCAAGCACTTGCTGTGCATCTGAGAGCTGGACAGTAAATAAGGATGATAGAAGAACAATTGATGCCTTTGAACTGTGGTGTTAGAGAGGAGTACCAAATATCCCACAGACTGTCAAAAGAAAAAACATACGTCTTGGAGAGGGTACAGCCAGATTGCTCCTTGGAGGCAAGGATGACAAAGTTTCATCTCTCACTCTTTCAGACATGTTGCTAGGATAGGCTATTCTTTGGAAAGGGACATGATTCTTGGAAAGGTCGAAGGTCAGCAAAAGAAAGGAAGACCCTCAGCAAGATGGATTGACATGGTGACTGCAGCCGTGGGCTCAAGTGTGTCAGAGATGAGGATGGCACAGGACAGCGTTCAGGTCTGTTGTTCATAGAGTCGACTTGACAGCACCTAACAACAATAAACCCCTGCCATCAAGTCGGTTCCAACTCAAGACCTTCCATTGAATTGCTGAGACCATGAATCATTATGGGAGGAGATTGCTCATCTTTCTTTTGTGAAGCAGCTGGTAGACTCGAACTGCAGCCTTTGGGCAGACCAGCCCAACAGCAATTAAATAAGCCACTAACACTGGAAATCTAGGTGGGACATGAGCATATATTGGTGTGGTCAACATTCCTGGAAGGCCAAGAAGTGGTTGGCTAACGGCTTAGCTTCTAAATAAATGGTTGGCAGTTTGAGCCCCCCATCAGAAGACAAGCCCAGTGCTGTGTTGGGGAGCTGTGGGAACCCTTATGGAGCACAGCTGATCCCTGAATCTGAGGCAGGCTCCAATCTGGGAGGAGTGTGTCTCAATATGGCCACACGTCCCCAGGCCTTCATATATGGCTTTCATATATCTCTCAATGCCAGCACACAGCAGCCTGATGGATATGACAGAAAGGCTGAATGAAGTGAAGCCTTAAGGAACATCGGAACAGAGCTGTTTCTGAAGATGAGTGCAAAGCCTCCCTAAATCCCAGCTGATTTCCTGTTGCCCACCCACCGTGTTGGGAGCAGTGCTGGGGCACTGCCGAGCATGGGGGCATTACCATGGCCTTCATCTGAGCGAGCTGTTGTCCTGTCATGTCCACTTTGCTCACCACACTGCTCCTGCAGGCTTGGCCTCTCTGCTTTCCAAACCTGTTTGGAAAAATCCGCCTGTAAAGGAGGATTAGTTCATCCCTTCACATGGAGAACGAATCTCTGACAGTGAGTGAGTGAGGGCAGCAACCGAAGCCTAGAGCCTTCAGTTTGCTCCATGCCCCACTTTGTGCCCCTTCTAACGTTGGGATAGGCACCATGGGACTTTGCAGACTAGTGCCCATCTGCTTTCTCTGCAACGTGACTGCAGTTATTTTACCTCCACGTCTTCAGGTCTTACCATTAGTAGCAGTCCGTAAGCATCCGTGAAACTGTGTCACCTGTCTCTTACTCATTTAAAACTCTGTGACAGAAAAACCTTTGATTCTAAAAGGAGAGAGACAGTGGCAGAACAGGAGCCTGGACACCTGGTATCTTGTCATCACTCAAGTCATCTCTCCTTTCTAGGCCTCAGTTTCCCCAATGAAAAGGGGAAACCTGGACTAAAGCATTGCAAAGGCCATTTCCAGGCCTGGCATTTTATGACAACACATTTTTTGGAGCCAAGAAATAGTGGCAAGAATTTCTACCACCTGCAAATTTCAAGCAGCAGCAATACGAATTATAATCGTAATAATGTTCTGCCTCCTTTTTCATCATAAGAGGGTCAGAATCGCTTTCCGGTCTCTCACTGAGGAAGTCTGGGCTTTGCTGTAATTTCATTGCCATTTGCTTTGCAGGCGAGAGATTAAGCAGTTATTGTTGGAATTGGATGAAGAGAAGAAAATCCGGCTGCGGTTGCAGGTAGGTCCTGGAGTCCACTGTCCATGCGACATGGGGGCTCATTGGGGGTGGGGACAGTGTTGGGGGTCTTATTTTGAAAATAAAGCATTATTCTTCTCTGGAGATTTCTACACACTTCCTGGGATAATGTCTTAGAATTGTGTAGTCACAGCCTTTCTGGGACCCAGGAAGTCTTAGCAGTGGGAATCATTAGTAACCCTGGCCCTAGTTCGGTCTCTCATTTGGGATTTATCGTCAACATCTGCTCTCTGGAAAGTTCCACCAACTTCCAGGAGACCCCAGTCCCTCCTCTGCTCAGCATGGCACTGGGGAGGCCCTGCTCCCAGCCGATTTCTGTCAGGTGGTCCTTGGGGCTCTGGGGACCACAGCTGTCCACACTTGCTCTTTAGCTCCTCATTTCTCCCTGATGAACCTGTCGGCCCAGCCAGGCCATCGGGGCTCTTTCCCCATCGTGTCTCTGGTGTAGCTGTTAACCAAATGGCAGCGTGATGGGAGTTCTGCCTCCATGCGGTTGAACGCTGAGGTGAATGGGACCCAGGTAACTTATAGGAGGGGCAGGCCCTGCCTCTCGTCCCAGTCACCGTGGGGCTTGTGACAGGCACTCTGGGTCCAGCCCAGCACTGCCAGACGGGCTGGCATTTCCTCTGTCTAGGAAATGGGATGCTGCTAGTTTTGACAGACTTTGGATGTTGGTGGCCTGGGAGTGGAAAGAGCCACCATCTCTGGGTGTTGTATTGGCGTAGCTCACTCCTGGCATCATCACCAGCTCTTCACCCAGACGCCATTTCACCTGGAAAATTGTCAGAGTGATTGCTTATTTTTTTTAAAAATCACCCAGCTTGCATGCATTTCAGAGCATAGAAAAGCCACCAGTAGCTCCGTATAACTGTGTGTTTGTGTGTGTTTTCCTTTGTAGATAGAAGTGAACGACATAAAGAGAGCTCTTCAATCAAAATGAATACTTGATCAATGAAACGTCACATTATTCATCCCGAGTCTGACTGAGACTCGAATTTTCTGCCCCAGCCAAAATAACCTTGTGCCAAAAGATGAAAGGTTTGCCTCCACATGTCCCTGTTTGAAAGATTAGCACAAAAGGCTTGATAGCACCGCACAAGTTCCATCCACGAGGAGAATCTTCCCCAAGGCCTCGCCCTGGGTCCGGCACGTCCACAGAGCAAATTGTGCTGAAGGCTTTGTCCCCTTGAGCTCTCATGTGAAATGAAAACTCAGGCAGTCTAGTCCATAGTGGTACTATTTTGAAGATTTTTTCCATGAATAAAATGTCATTTCCGATTCTTCGTTTACAAGCTTTATAAGTTTTTGATTTTGTTTTTACATCGTGTTTTGTCACAGACGCCCCCCGCCTCCACCCGAGGCAGGAGCAGGCGGCCCCCTCCTTTAACTTCGGGCCGCACACTGGCTCGCTTTGTGTTCCCACTGAGGATTCTATTACATATGCAATTTTAGGTCCAACCTGACCCTTCTCCCTGCCAACAAAGCCCACCACCCTGAGGTAAATTTTAGCTTCTCTATGATGGTATATTTACAAGATGAGAAAGAGAAAATCTGGTATTTGCAATGATTTGTGCCTTCTTTTTACCACCCTCTGGATTGGAGCTTTTGATGCAGCTACCATGATCCAAAAAAGCAAAAAGAAAAAATGGTGTTCTTAGCCACTTACTAAAGTCCACTAGAGGCCGCTGTCTTCAGAGCTTCCCTCACCATCGCCAAAGGTCCAAAGAGGAGACAGCTGTGAACTTGGGAGTGCTGTGTGGTCCCAGCTGTGAGTTTTCCGTTCTCCTGGTTTTCAGTTGTTCATGAAACTAGCAATGTCACCCCTGCTTGATTTTCTCACCCACCGAGTTAAACCCCTGCCTCCTGTCCTTTGCACCTTTTGCGTGAGCAGAATATGCATTATTAAAAGCAAAAATCAATAAAGTCAAATGCAAATGAACACAGGGGGGAAAGTTGTGTTATTTTTTGCAATGGGGTCTCTGTGTGTATCCTTGTTTCCACTGTAGCCCCCAAATGTCCTTTGCCTTGCTCTTGTAACCCCTTCCTCAGATGGGGACAGTTGGTCGTTGTTGGCCTGCAGCCCTTGGTTCTTTTCTTGCATCGATGGAATTACTTTCTCGAAACTTCCCAAGGAATCTGGTGTTTGCTTGTCTGCTTTATCATTGTAGCCAATGAACAGTTGAGCCTCAGACAATTTCATTGTTCACTCATCCTTAGCCACAAAGTGGGGTCATACTGTATTGTGAGATTGTACAGGGGGTGAAAAGTTACCCTTTAATGGCCCCAAAGCTAAAGTTTTTGTTCCTAAAATCTGCTCTGTCTGCTTCCTGAATTTCAAAGTGAACTACTAACCACCTACAATCTGCAAGGAAGGAATGTTGGGGGCAAAGAATTCGCCCAGATTACTGATGACTGAGAGTTCTGAATGAATGTCCCTTCATTTCTTTCTCTTCTGATCTCCCTCACCCCACCATTGTCTTGCCTGCTACCTATGCCCACTGGAGGCTGTTGCTTCCCTCCAAGGGGTGCAGAGCAGCCCCAGGCTCCGTGGGTTGGAGCTGGGCCAGGAAAGGCTCCCAGACCTGGCTGCACTGTACCTCAGCAGCCTTGGTCTCGGCAGGCTTGGGCCCAGAACAGGGGTGGCCCCTGCAGCATCAGGTATTCCCTGAGCCTTGAGCATTTGAATTATTTCTGTGTTACACTTGAAGCCTTCCAAAGTTTCCCGCCACTTACTAGAGAAAGTCACTGACGTTTGGATGCCTCATTTTCTGGTCATGGAACTGTCTGGTGATAGGATTTCTACCATGTGTATACAGAGTAGGATTGTTAATGCACTGGGGGTTAGAGCGCCCTCGTGGAGCCCTAGTATCCTTCCTTTGTGCCTGGAAAGAGAGAGGCCTTTGGAGAAGTTGGGTCTCCAGCTTCACTGTTGTCTCGGAGACTATCTGGCAAGAGGAACGTGCTTTCATGGAACTAGACCCATCTTCCCAACAGCCACCATCTTTACTCTGTACTTTGTTAAAGGGACCCAGCGAGAATACTGAAAAGCTTGGAAGTATCACTTTTAAAAAAAATTGTTTGCATTCAGCATGGACTCTACCAGGCATCTCTTGAAAATTATTTTTTTTGCTTCATTTTCTAAAATTGTATGTAGAAAAGTCTTAAGTATTGTGCTTTGTAAAGATGATTAAAATGAAATTTTGTCGAACTATTTTTGTTCAAAGTTGTCATGGTCCAAGGGGAACGGTTTCTTGGGTTACAGACCATTGCAGCACACAATTTGGTATCTTTTCCTTTTCTTCATTTTCTTCGTCTTCTAGTCACTGTTGTACATGTTCTCCCCCCCAAACCCACCCACCCCACAATGCACCCCTTGTTCCAGACTGTTGTCTGTCATGCATGTAATGCCAAACCATGTATTCCTTTCGGACAGCTCTTCCCCTCATCTGTACTACTTTAGTGTTCGTTAACCCTGCTCTTCCCAGTCTGTCCCCAACAAGTTGGTGTCTTTAGATGACATAGACTATAGTGGCTCACCCCCTCCCCACCCATCTTTTCAAGAAGAACACAAAAAAAATCCATTAAAAGATGCAACTGTGAATTCCATTTTTTAAATTGTTCGATTTTTTTAAAAATTTTTTTTTTTAATTTTTGGTGTGTGTACTGTCAAATAAGATCTAACTGGTACAGGAGGAGATTGCCCCTCCTTCTTCAGCAGAACATCTGGTGGGTTCGAACCAAGAACCTCCGGGATTGCACTGCAACATGTTGTCACTAGACCACCAGAGCTCCCTAAATTGTTCCGTTTTCTATTTAGATTTAATGAGAAAATGTTAAGGCCAACATTTCATTGTAGAAACCATGAAATCATCATTATTTGAGTAATTATGTAAGGCCCCCTTTATTCACGCATAGCTCTCTGAGGACCATACTCAAGTACATGTTTTGGGATGCCCCCCCCCAAAAAAAACGGCAACCTGTGTCTATCATCCACGTGTGTCTGGGTTACTAATAGCGGAGTTATTGCTTACAGTTGCCAAAGCCTGTATAAAAATAATCCTGGATTCCATGAAGCCCCTTGGATCAGACTCAGGTTACCACTGGCTCCATTTTGTGTTTGATTCTGGTTTAGTCCTCCTGTTATTTCAGCACGAATTAATGTCGAGATGTTTTAGCACCAAGCGTACTTGGTGAACTGGCTCAGGTGAACTGTTTCACTTAAGGCTGTGATAAACATATTTTAGCAGAAACCTATGTCCACATTTCTGATTCCTTGCTAGATTTGTTGCTAGAAGTGGATTTACCAAGTGAAACTGTGAGTATAAATGACTTAAGATATTTTAGCAAAAAAATCATGTTTGTCAGAGATAACGCTAGACCCCTAAATTAGCCTAAACTTAAGTTGGGGTCTCAGGAATCAGGAACCTCCCAGATGAGAGCACACCTATGGCCACTTGACTCCGCTCCTGGCTGTGCCCTGTACCACGTCCCTCACCCTGTCTTATACCCTTGTCTGTCCTCTGCCTCCACTCCCTGGGATGTACCATCAAGAAGGTGGCAGGTTTTGTTTCTTCACGTTGTACCCCCAGGATCTAGACCATTGTCAGAGGGCTGGGAAGCCCTGACTTCTTGACTGGCTAGGTGAATTGCTACTTGTGATTGATGCCAGTCAAAATGTGTTCTGTAAACCCGGACAGCCAAGTTTTACCTTAACTAAAATTCTGGCACCAAACTGCAGTATTAGGGAGGATTCATGCCCCAGAGAAAAGCCATCTGAAGGTGGCCTTCCTAGACACCCCCCCCCCGCACTTGCACCCTATGTCCCTCGGCACTCAGGTCCTATAGAGAGCGCAGGAGCAGATTCCCAAAAAAGCATGGGGAGCAGGGGGTTACGTTTGTTTATCAATCTGTAGTGAACAACCCCACAGGTGATGGAAAAACACTGTCCACTACAGATTAGTAAGTAAGTCCCTGTCTGCCTTGTTTGCTGGGACATGTGCTATGGGGATAGTGGGTCTTGTCATCATGATTCACAAGAAACGGTTCATGTGGTCTGGACGCTATCAGCTCTAACACTGCCATCTACTATTCAAAAGCCTTGGCTATCTTTGTTTTAACTAAGACATGACACATTCTTTTATTTATTCTTAGATTCACTCTTGGAGAAAGGCCGATTTCAAGGGCAGGCGCACGTTGTTGACACGCTTGACTTCACATTTGCTCAGGTATTCAGAGTGGGCCTGTTGGTGACACTCTTGACCCCTCCTTGGGTCCAGCTAAGATCTCAGTTGGCTGGAAATGATCCCTCAGTAGACGAGACCTGGCCTTCATGGCAGGGGGTCCCCATAGTGAGATATTGGGGCCTGCAATCATACCTGGAGCTTGGTGGTTGCTGCTAGGTGCCATCAAGTCCACTGTCACTCAGACCCTGTGAACCACAGAGCTGCACCCTTCTGTCCTGTGTTAATGCATCTCTTGGGGGGGGTCTTCTCTTTTTGCTGACCCCCTGCCTTTCCCAGAATAGAAATGCAAATTCATGGTCCCACCCCAGATCTGCTGACTCACACTTGGAGACAGGCTCTTTACTGTTTCCGCAAACCCTCTGGGACATATGATGCCCAGGACAGTTTGAGGACCACTGTCAAGGGAAGATCGAGTTGTGCATACAATAACAACCTCGGGCATTTCCAGAAGGCCCTGGGCTGTGGCTGCAACAAAGCAAGGTGTGCGATGCCCAGAAACAGCGCCACCATCTGTTTGGTTGAACCACGGGAACATTTTTGTGGGTCAAACGTGGTTGACTAGGACTCTCCGTTTCCACTCACAAATGCAGAGCGCATCCTTCTCATCCCTCTGAAAAGAACAAATCCAGACAGACTGGAAATTGGCGGGACGAGCTCGCAGAGCATACGGCCATCACACAGTTTGCAGGGAGCAGAAGACCTGGGCTTCAGCTCGCATGCAGAAGCTGCCAGAAGCCCTGGGTGATTTGACAAATCGCCAGAGGCCCAGTGTGGGCTTGCTGCAGAGTGCGAAATTCCTGGCAACCGGTTTTCCCTCTAGGAATCATCTTGGCTCTCAGCAGGAGGATGGGAGACTAGAAGGGGGGGAGGCTGTGCGCTGGCAGTGGAGAGCAGAGAACGGGACCACCAGGAAATCCACTCAGACCCTTCTGCCTCATGGGGAAAAAAAGGGTTTCAATTCTGGTAGAAAGACGCCATCTGAGGGCACTGGTGAAACGCCATTACAGCTGAGGAAAGGGAGCACCCCAACCCAGTGTGTCTCTCCCCTTCCTTCTCACCTAAATGAAAAGAAAAAAGTCCTTAGCCTGCATGGGGAATGGCCCCCAGTCCGTAAAGAGAAACACTTGTAAATGCTTGCACAGATAGAGGGCAGTAATTGAGGGAGCCGCAGACCTGGAGGAGGGGCACAAACACTGATGGTACCCACCTCATCCCCACCGCCTCCAACCTGCTACGCATTGCAGAGAGCGTGATCTAGAATATTAGGAACCCTGTTCCCCGCTAGTAAATGAACAAACCTCCCTGGTGAGAACAACAGTGGATTACAGCAGCAGAGAGACGACAGGCTCACTCTAGAAAACGCCAAGTGCAGACCGCTAAAGGTCGACCAATGGAATTCACAGTCTGTGATGCACACAGCACAGTGCCAACGCTGATATAAACCACCAGCCCCAACAGCTGGCTAGGTTATAATGAATCTCCACACTAAAACCCCGTGAAGGTGTTAAAACCCAAACAATTCACTTTCCAAGTGTTTAGAAGCGAGTACAGCCCTTTGAGGACTGAGGTGTGCCGCCCCAAGTTTTCAGCAGGCTCACCTGCATGCGGAAGTTGAGCCCACGATGAGCGAGGATGCTCCACAAACAGATGCACTCACTTCAGGCTAGTGAAGAATAGGACTCGACCATGGATTACTTGAGAAG